GATGGTGATGTTGCTCATGATGATGATGGTGCCCCAATGATGATGATGTTGTTGATGATGATGATGTCGATGATGATGATGATGCGATGATCATGACGATGATGGTGTCCGAGGATGATGACGATGTTGATGATAATGCTGATGATGAGAACGATGGTGATCATGATGGTGTCCCGATTCTGATGATGATTAACTATGATGATGCTGCTGATGATGATGACGATGACTGTGTCCCGATGATGATGATGTTGGTGATGAGATGACGATGGTGATGATGATAATGTTGTCCCGATGATGATGCTGACGTTGATGATGCTGTTTATGATGATGATGACGGTGCCCTCATGATGATGACGATGCTGGTGATGTTGTTGATGTTGATGATGTGGATGATGATGATGATGATGATGACGTTGATTGTGAGAGCGATTGTGATATCGATAGTGATATCGATATGGAGACCGAGTGTGAGATCGATTGTGTGATCGATTGTGAGCTCGATTGTGTGATCAATTGTGAGATCGATCGAATGAGATAGATCGAGTGAGATCGATTGTGAGATCGATCGAGTGAAATCGATCGAGCGAGACCGATAGTGAGGTCGATACTGAGATGAAGGCTGTTTGCCGATGATGATGAAGGCTGTGTGCCGATGATGATGATGTTGCTGACTATGATGAGATGATGATGGGGATGATGGTGATGGCCTGATGATGATGGCGTTGATGATGATGACGATGATGATGATGATGATGATGACGACAGTGTCCCGATGACGATGAAAATGCTGGTGTTGGTGATGATGCTGATGCTGATGATGACGTTGAATGTTAGATCGACTGTGATATCGGTAGTGATATCGATAGCGAGACCGAATGTGAGATCGATTGTGAGATCGATAATCAGATCAATTGTGAGACCGAGCGAATGAGATATATCGAGTGAGATCGATTGTGAGATCGATCGAGTGAGATCGATCGAGCGAGACCGATAGTGAGATGGATAGTGAGACCGATCGAGTGAGACGCTGCATCCTCCCCCCCCCCGAACCTCCTTATCACCCGAAGGGTGGTCGTATAGGTAATGTTGATGATAATAATAATACTAGTGATAATAATAATAATACTAATAATAATAATAATAATAATAGTAATGTCAATAATAATATAATTCTACACATAGTAATAAGACTTATGCTAGGAAGAGGAGGAGGAGGAGGCGTAGGAGGAGGAGGAGGCGGAGGAGGAGAACATGCAGGAGGAGGAGGAAGCAGAGGAGGAGGAGGAGGAGGAGGAGGAGGAAGAGGAGGATCACCAGGCTGGTCGAGTCGTGCTGCCGACGGACGGGAGTACTGGCCAACTCATGAGCCGCTCACCCTGCAATCAAAGTGAAGCGGCAGGACGCGGAAGCGTCTTAATATAATTAACATTCGGATGCGAGGGGCTGTCTTCACTTTGGATGCCGCCCCGCCTTGATGGCGGAAATATTGCGGTCCTGTCCGAAACGAGTAGCTCCGTGCTGATAGTGACCTGGACACTCGGCGTCGATCTTACAATCAGCCACTTTGCCCTGGGCCCCTTGATCAGAGCCATATGTGGAGCACAGCATGGCCGCGGGGGTCGCCAAAACCTGGTGCCCGTGGAGCTCGACAATAGCTTCAGCCGGCGCATCAGACATCCCGACGGCAACAGAGCTCACCTTAGCACCAGCCACAGGGTCGAGAACATTAGCGGCCTCAAGGGGGAGCCTCCGCCATCACAGTGCGCATAGGTGGGGAACCGTGCAACTTAACATCCGTCTTAGCCCACCGCCTCGGTTGGGCCGTGGGCGCGCAAAGTCTTTGGATGAGCTTGATGAGGCTGGCAGGGGTCCGAGCAAGAGCGAAACACTCCTTAAGTTTGAAAACGCTGGGGCCCCTGATCACCATACAATGAGACGTTGGAGCAACGGACCTGGGAGGGGCAGGTTCTCTATACAAGTGCTCAGGGCGGGCGGTCACTCGACGCATCATGACAAGTCGTACGGCATACACGCCATGATATGAAACGTGCTTGCAACCGCACATCGGACAGGTAACCTTCAGACTCTTTGACTAGCGTGTCAGCGAGGGCGTGTGTCATCGCTCCCAGTTTGGCAAACCTGTTCGCCCATGCGTTCGTGAGGTAATACGCACACGGGTGCTGGGCGTCACGAGCGCAGTCTTCCGCTGCTTTGTGAGCAGGGCACCAGTAACAGTCGGGCGACTGTCACCCTTTCACAGTACAATGCATGCTCCTCTAAATATATGCATACTGAGCTTGAGCATCTGCCTGGGTGGACCTGCAGTCTTTGCCTTCCTGCACCAACGAGGCCAGGCCGGACACGACAAACGGTACTCTTGCGAGCAAACGCAGGGCCGCAAGTGGAGCAGCTCTCTCAGCTCGCCCCACTGTTCGAATAGGTCCTTCGAGGGGTCCGTGCGCACCTCGTACCGGCAGCCCGTTGCTACCCAGTTGGCAGA